TTTGATTGTAGTAAAAAAGAATCTTTATTATATGTTTTCCTTAATTCGCGCGTCAAGCGCATCTTATAAAATCTTAAAAATTTACATCTTAATTAATGACTTCTACCTTATTTTTTTTTTAAATAATGTGTGTAATTTATTTGAATAAAATCTAATGACAAGAAAAGTAAAAATATTATTTAAAAAAATAAATAAATGAAGTCATTATTTAATTAACAAAGTTTTTCTTAGGTATAAAATATGCAAAAAAAAAAAAGAGAAAAAAAAAACCGAAGCGTTAAATTTTTTTTTTTTAAAACAAAAAAAAAATTCTAGTAAACCGAAAGGAGAGATTAAGATAATATAATCGAATAAAATATTATTGAACTTATCGAAAATTAGTTCAATCATATGATAAAATACGACAAAATGAAAGTTGAAAAAAAAATCCAAGAAACAAACGATAATAAGAGTTACGAAAAAAATAATATTAAAATCGGAATATAATACTTTCATCAAAAAAAATTGAAATAACTTGATCTTCGATAGTTGCAAAGGATGAATCCAAATAATAACCATTAATGTCATCGGTCATGTCGTTAAAAATCATCTGTTGGTCACTACGTTGATCTTGCTGATCATTAGTCGCGGGACTTTTTGTTTCCAAATTAAATCTATAATCACTTTTGAACCTTTTAGGTTTATATTTGTAATTGGGGAAACGTTTCTCGTGATCCTGTTTCGCTAATTTAAATAACTCGGAGAAAATATTTTTTTGCTCGGAAGTTAAGTAAAAATGCCATAGTTCCGATGCAACCTTGGTCAGAATGTTTCGATCGTTGCATAAGATTGTTTGATCAACCATCAAGTTATGATCCTGCGCGTATTGATTGACCGTATTTTTAAACTGAAAAAAATTATTAGAAGGTCTCGAGGGTTTCCCGTCCTTTTCAATCGATAGTTTGGGTTTTGATGCATATTTATCGGAACAAAGTAATTTGATGGTACATTGATCAAATTTATCAACGAACGCCCTAACTATAGGCACCTCGGTAGGTATCCTCGGTTTCTTTTCCGATCTAGGTTTACAATTAGTGAGACATTTTGGCATATTGAACTTGTAATAGACAAAGTAAATCCAATATTTGGTATTTGTTTAACGAAGGAGGAAAGTAGCGATACTTTTATAGTTATTAGAACATATGAGGACGGGATTTTGAAGATTTTTACAAAGGAATCTGCAAGAATTGAGTTATTTATATACCTTTTACGACTGAATGTAACAAGGTATGCGCCATTAGCTGGAAAATGGCAAATTATTATCTTACCAGATTTTTCTTGTGTATTTACTTTTGCTGGTAATTTATTACATGCTCGTTTAAAGTATCTACTTTCGTTTATGTAAAGATTTAATTATGATCCAATCATGACATATAATTTTTTTTTTTTTTATTTATTTTATTTTTTTTTTTTAATATGGAATTCGCTTTATATGTAAAAAAATAAAAATAATGTATCTTCGATAACCATTGTGTAGAATGATTCGCTGATCAATCCTCATTACTTTGTAATGATATGCGTGGGGCACATAATAGAAAGACATCCATCACTAGGCATCAAATATGGAATCAACAGATTTCGCTACTTTAATTCCGAATCGTTGATTTCCCTCCTTATTTGATTATATGACTTTTATAAATCAAATTTATCAAAACGTGTGCTTACACCACTATTTTTTAAATTATCATTTTTTTTGATTTAAAAAAAAAATTCTTCATTGAACATGCAAAGAATGGACTACATACACTTCGATTGATTAAGGATACATTCTGCAAAGAGGTTGAAAGTAACTTGAGCTCATAAATGTTTTTATTTTTCTTTATTTGTTTCCTGTTTCTTGTTAAAGGATGAATTCAAAGTAACACGATGCCTTTGTGATATTATTTGCCGTAAAAAGAAAGAAAATAATATCTTATCCCTCAATTATTTCGTACCAAAAAGTTTGACCCAATCAAATGAAAACAGTTATTAGATAATCATTGAAAGGGGGTTCCTTTAATATCGAATAAATTTGTCCTCATTATCGATTTTTTTTTTTTTTTTTTTTGCGTTACGATAATTAAGATTTCCTTGTAAAACTAGCAAAATTAAATCACGTGTCATTGATTCACGCCGTTATCATCATTTTTAGAAAAAAAAGTGTACATTGTTCTATCTCAAATTATGCAAGTTTTGAGACATGGGACAATCTTCCTTCGGATGGAGAACTCCAGGTGATCAAATTATAAAGTTAGTAAACCCCGTGGTTCTTAATCTTTATAAGGTAAAGGTTTACCCTTATTACACAAAAAAGAATTTTTTTTTTTTTTTTTCAAGGATCATATGATTTAATTAAAAGTTTTAGATTACCAGATTCATACTAACAAATTTGAATTTAGTCTTCGAAACCGGACAAACAATTGAAAAATGACAATGACCAAATGACAAGGGTAAAGAAAAATGAAGACATAAAAAGTTTACTACGTCTAAAGGTTATTCGTAGTAAAGCACTTCGTCAATCATTTCACACTGGATCACATGAATCGCCATTAACTGAATGACTCACACACAACCAATCAAAAAACTTCCTCAAAAAAAAAAAAAAATCTCTGATTCTTTATTCGGAAGGTAATTTTTATTTTTTAAAAAAAAAACTGGAAAACCTTAATACATTGATTATCTACATTACAATAAAAAATATATATATATATATATAAAATAATAATATGTTATTATATCGCCTCATCCTCTAATTTTTTTTATTTTTTTTTTAAAAAAAGTCATTTTGCGACACAATTCCTTTAAACAAAATTACAATAGTATGAGCACTTTCATGTTAACTTAACTGAATTTGTAAATAATCAATTACCTTTAATTGGGCTTATGGAGTCCGAGCTCCGTCATGAATAAGATGCGTCTCATACGCGAACATCTTTGATATAAAAGATATGTAACAACCAAGGTTTGAATAGGCAGAATAGAACAAACAAATGTTAATTCTTGTGTTCATATAAGACAAATAAAAGAGAATGTGTACATATTGGTCCTAAATTAGCCAAAGGCATCTTTCAAAGTAAGTTTGAATGCATGTTTATTGACCAGTGAATTCATTTTCTTTCCATTTTTTACCACTCATTTATAACATATATAATTGTAAAGCATATTTTTTATTTTTTTTTTTTGCGGTCATGTTATAACAAAGGCCTGGGTACATGTAGATGATGATGCGGGTACACGTCCTCATGATTCGTTGTGGAACCTGATCTAAATTGATAAACGCGTCGAAATATATTCAATAGATGGTTTCATTGTATGAAATAAACAATATCATAAAGTTAAAAGCTATGCAAAGACTAAACAAAATTCATCCTTGTTCTTCATTTTTGGCATATTGGCGACAATAGCGTAAAGTTTCGATCTACTTGTTTCATGTATGCTTAAGGTTCAAAATGCACGCTGTTAAAGTTGAAATGGTAAGGTTCAAAGGGTAAAAATCATGCGACGATTCCAAATATAACGCGAAAAAAAAAAAAAGTTCGGGTTTATTCTCATTATATTCACGTAAATAGTTGTTACATGATGCAATTAATTGTAAAGTTCTCAATTTTTAAATAATAGTTAATGCATTGTATATAACTCGGTTCTTCTAAATAAAGACATGCCTGAAAGTGAATGACACTTAATAAATAATTTTCTCGGAACCAATTAGATTTGATCGCAAACCTTATTTATCCTAGCTTTGTCCAGATTAATCAACATCGCCTATCTTACCAAGATGCCATTACAAATAAAGCAATCAAAGGATATTTTAAACTGAGGCCTGATAAACGCCCATCATTCCACCATTGAAGACACGAAAAAAAAAAAGAATTATGTAACGAGTTCATGTTTACAGCAATAAACCGGAGATGAAAAACCGACACGCGTAAAACTTTTACGCCAAAGGGTACATCTTTTTTTTTTTTTTTTTTGCGGTCTTGTTGTTTCTTGATCTTTTCATCTACCAAATGTAAAGAAGACAAGCTATAAAAAGTAATGCAAATGTAACGGTAACAACAAGCCCGAAAAAAATAAAATACAGTATATTTCAATTTCTTTAATTAGAATTATGTTGGCGTTCATTAGAAAGAATTCGCGAAATTATAAATAAAATATATTTAGTTAGATTCTCCAAGAATGTTACATTTTTCACATGGTAAAATGTGCAGGAATGATATCACGGTAAATTTCAAAAAAAATAGCACCAAATTCGGATGTCTTTATCATACGATTATATTCAGAAGTAAAAAGAAAAATTTGATATAGTAATTTTTACATTCATTTGATTTACATTGTAACACCTGCATTTCACCAATCATGACCCGCAATCCTTTGATTGTTTGAATTCCAATTTTATATACTGTATTTACTTATTCGAAATTCCATTGTTACCCAGTCGATTCCAAATTTAGGCCAGGATACGACCATATGGACATATGGACCATGTAACAAAAAAAAAAAAAAGTGTAAAAGAAAACCACGAAGGACTTTTTAAATAAATTTTATTTGGTAAAAATTTAATTATTTTTAAAATAGATTGATTTACATTGCAGACGAACTTTAGACGAACCAAAAAAAAATAAAATATTGCTGCGCAAAATGATTGATTCCTCCATAAAAAAAAGAAAACTTATCCAACAATGTAAAGAAAATACATGTATTGTGTTCAACAAACAATAACAAAAAAAGAATCTGTATAGCGATCCTTAGGATATTTTTCATCACAAATTATGTAAAATCCCGAAGAAAATTTTTCATAACAAAATGTCTGATACGAGATAAAATTTTCAAAGATTTGAGGGTGTACATAATATTCTTAATGATTTTTTTTGACAAGATGGTTAAAAGTGCCATACATCTAATAAAACTTTGTGTCATACCAAATATTTATATATATATATATATGTATGCGTATATACTTTCTTTTTTTTTTTTGCGAATAGAAAAATTTGTAAAGACTTTATTTTTTTTTAAAAATAAATTTACATATAAAAAATGAAAAGTAAGGAAAATCTGTTTCGAACAACCTCGGCTCATGATAACACTTTCACATTAGCAGCAAAATACAAATGTTTCATATGCTTTCATTTAAAGGAGTCGCATCAGGAGTCGTAAAACGCGTAGATTCGAAAATTTATTCTTTTTTGCTAGAACCTTTGGAACATTGGGAATCTTTGGTAAAAATACAATGACTAGCGAATCCAAGCAAGTTTTTTTTTTATTACACGGAATTGAAATTCCCTGAACTAATACATATTTATTTAATAGAAAAATTCACAATTTGTGCTACATACCACACGTTACACCATTCTAGATGGAACAATTTTATCGCAAGGAGTTGACGATCAACAAAAAAAAAAAATATAAATACCTCCACGTAAATTTTACAATTGGAAACGCAAGAGCAAAGCAAAAGAACAAAGAACTAAGAACCAATAAATAGCTCAAAGAATCAAATATAAAATAGTTCAATTTCTCAAACCCTTATTTCAAAGTTATTTTTGATTTTTTTTTTTTTCTTTGTCGAGGAAAAAACAAGTATAATGAATTATTATAATACTACTTTATTACTTCCACCTTCTCCGGTAAATTCGTCGTCTTCTTCATTACCTTCTCCTAATCTTAGTGATTATGAAGGAGGTTTTCCACAAATGGACGAAAAAAACCGTGTTAAGAAACTTTTGAATTTGTTTCCTCCTCCAATTACCGCAACGCAATACGTTCTAGAAAATTCATTTGAATCTTCTAATGGTCACATTAAAAGGCCTTCCAATTGCTTTATGATATTTCGTAAGATATCGCATGATAAAAAGAATAAAATGCAAGAACTCAAACGTTATAATGAACGAGAATTTTCAACGATAATTGGTGTTATATGGAAGGAACTTAGCAAAGTAGAGTTGGACATTTATAAAAACTTGAGCAAAGAAATTGTTAAAATTCACCAGGAGATGTATCCAGAATATAAGTATAAGCCCAAACGGGACAAAGCTGCGTGGAAACATTATCATTATGTGCCAACCAATGATGCTA